ACACTACACACACACACACACACACACACACACACACACACACCTCTCTCTCTGGTCAGTTTATACTTACGTAGTACTTGCTCATTGAATAGCGTCATTCGCCGATATACCAGCAAATAACTACGGACCTGAGCTGGTCTCACGGCCGAGGGCCTTTCAACTCGGCCCGTATTTCTCGTACAGTCTCTCGCAAGGTGTGGTTCTCGACGTTGTCGACGGAAGTATGCCGCCGTGAGATCAACAAGTGTCGCGCGAGATCCACGTCCGATCGGCGTACGATCGAGCAAGCGCGTCTTCGCTGGCCTCCGCCTCGAGCCTCCCCGTGTGGCGCGTTTCAAAGCAGCGACAAAGTGCGCGTTTTTTTTTCAAAGCCCGATCGCGAATCAAAGAACACACGATCCGGACCCGCTCGATCGGAAGGACCCGCGTCCGCGGGACTACGGTAGCGCTGAAGGATCACGATCGAACGATCGCGCGCTACGCGATCTAATGGGAAACGTCGTCGTTCCGACGTGGATTGGAAATTAGTGCGCGCGTGTTATTGGACCGCGGGTGCCGGCACACGTGACCTCTTCACGAATTTGTTTGGCGCGCGTGGTTACGTAGGTGGTGAAACGGTGGAGGATCTGCATCCGTGGCAGAGACGAAGAGCGGTGAGTGTTTGCGCGACGGAGATACGGATATGCTTTAGCAGGTACCATCAATCTTGGTGCCGCGTTAAAACAATCACGTTAAAAAGAAATTATAATTTAAAATTATAATTTTTACAAGAGAGAATAATATTCTTAATTCTCGGAATGTAACGTCGATGCCTTAGTGGTCGGTCCACAACAGGTGATTTAAGTTTTAAGAAGTAAGAAATTGATAATCAAATTATAATCAAATATGAAAAGAATAATCGACTATGATGGTCAATTTCTTACTGTTTAAAGATTAAATATTTATTGTGGACCGACACTTAAGCGGCGTCAACAATGAGACTTTAAGATGTAAAATTTAAGAAATTGGCCAATCATAATCGATATTTATAGAAGAATAATCGATTGTGGTTGACCAATTTCTTAAGTCTTACGTCTTAAAATCTCATTGTAGATACCGCTTTATAAGATTGCCGTTTAATTTTTAAATCGAGCGAATTGAAGTAATATATGCGTGAGTTTGGTCTTTCCGAGGTAATTGACCGTCTGTGGTAGAAGAAAAAGTAGATCTGACTATTTAACAATTTATATGCTCGGAATACTATTCTTTCTAAAAACATACTGATGTGTAATCAACAACTATCGTAATAAATATCTTTTCATAATATATTTTAAGATTGGTAAACAATTGGATCATACACCAATTTTGTTTATTGAGTCAAATGAGATCAGTTTCAAAAATATTATTCTTCTTAAAATAACAAGCACATTATTCGTTGCTTACTACTTTTTTGTTCTTCAAAATTGGTTTGTAATTTCACAAATCGACGAGATTATTATTTAAGCAATAATAAATAATTGTCTTGCTGAAAAACATTTTTTTTGATGTTTACATTATGTAATCAAATTTTTTTTAATTTGAAATTAAAATTAAAATTTTTCCCTATTTTTTCACATTTAATAAATAAAACAAAATGAGTCGCCAGACTCTAGATGATAAAAATCATACGTTATAAGAAATAAATATAAAATTAAATAATTATAATATAAAATTCAATCCTTGTACTATGAGTTTTTAAAATATTTTTATACCTTACATAAAAGAAAAAAATGTTTTTTAAAGTATGTAATATAACTGTATGATGCAAACTAATATATCAAACTGAAACATCAATACATTTTCTAAATTAATATACAAAGTTATTAAAGATACAAATGTATATCGATTGCATCAATAAAATATCGTAAGTGTATTCATAAATAAATAAAATAGGTAAAAGAGTATTTTGCGCAATTTTTTATTTGAACCGCACAAATTTACAAAATAAATTAAATATGAAAAGATATACAAAAATAGACGCAGATAGAGGTTTTATGAAATAATGTTATGAAAAGCTTTTGTAGGAAATATTCATAAGATTCAGCCGCTACTTGTCTGTCCTAGGAAACTGAAAATAAACATGACGATGATCTCCTGTTATGTACAGATTCGTTGTAATTGAAGCAATTTATAGCATCATTTTTTATATATATGTTATTTATATATTTTATATATATCTTATATATATCTTATTTTTGTTTTCTATTACACACACACACACACACACACACATATATATATATATATATATACATATACATATGATTATTTTGTT